TTGTTTATACACTCACACCTCATGATTTGGGGATAGGATCTCCAGATAAGACCGAACATGCAGCATTTGCCAGAGTTGCCTCAGTGCCATTAATTTACCTGCAAACCTCATTATTCAGTCGTGTTACACGTGAGCACGGTTACATTGTGTGTATGCACATTCTCATGCAGTCTCCAGCTGAATGCCATTTAGGTTCTTTCCATATCCTAGCTTTGTGAACAGGCAATGAACCCAGCGGAGAAACCATTTCTGTGGTAGGATACATGCCAAGGAGTGGGATGTACCTTCCAAATCTTTTACTGATAGATTGGTTGGAGACAAGGCCTCACCATATAGCTTAAGATGGCCCCCAAACTCATGGTAACTGTCCTCAGTTTCCTGGATGCTGAGGTTATAAGCATGTGTCCACACTTAGCACTGATTATTATTACAATGTTTCTTTCTATTGCTGTGACAAAATATCCCAACAAAAGCAACTTGGGGAAGGAAGCATTTATTTTGGTTTCAGTTTCATGTAACAACCCACCATGGCAGGGCATTCAGTGGCAGGAGTTGGCAGTAACTGGTCACACTGAAACCACACAAGAACATGGAAAGTTCTTCCTGTCCTACCTTCTGGTCACTCCAGATTTATGTTCAGTCCTGTGGCACCCCGCACACAGGAGGCCCTCTTCCCAGGGCACCACCATCCCCTAGGTGTCTTGTGTCTTGCTACAGAACTAGGGTCCCTTTAGTTCTTTTACACTACCACCTCTTTTAGCCTTTCCTGAAAGTGTGTCCCAATTCCTTTGTGACACCTGCCCACCCACACAAATTTTCTACCAGGGCTCACATTTGGCTAAGACCCAAAGTCAGTAGCAGCAACCAAAGAAAGACAAGCAGATAACTACACCAAGAAACATTTCAAACGGCAAACGCCTAGATCCCAACACAAAATTATTAACATGAGTAGCCAAGGCAATATGCATCCTCTAGAAGCAGCCAACTCTAACACACTGAAAAAACCAATTTACCTTAAGTTCTTTTTTTTTTTTTTTTTTTTTTTTTTTTTTTTTTTTTTTTTTTTTTTTGAGACAGGTTCTCTTTGTAGCCCTGGCTGTCCTGGAATTTGCTCTGTAGACCAAGCTGGCCTTGAACTCAAATATCCACCTATCTTTGCCTCTTGAGAGTTGGGATTAAAGACGCACTTAAAAAAAAAACAAAAAACTTTGTGTATGGGCATTTTGCATACATGAATGTGTGCACCACATTCAGAGGCCAGAAGTTTATTGGGAAGTTTTGGGTTGTCAGGTGGGTGCTGAGAATTGGACCTGGGTCCTCTGGAAGAGCAGCTAATGCTCTTAACCACTGAGCCATCTCTCCAGCTTCCCTGAAATACAAGCTTTAATTTGCTTTTCCCTGATGGCTAGGGATATTGAATGTTTGCTTTTTAATTATGTTATCTTTTGAAAACTGTTTGGTTTTATATCCTGTATTTTAATTATTATTATTTTTTAGTTCTTTATATACTCTAGATACTAACCCTTCATCAGATATATAGTTGGTATTTTTCCCCCCATGCACTCACATGCTGTTCTTTTTAGCTTTATCAGGTCCCATTTATTAACTATTGGTCTTAGTGCCTGTGCTATGGGTCCTCTTCAGAAATTCCTTTCCTGTGCTAAAAAAGTTCAAACATATTTCCCTATTTCTCTTTTATCAGATTCAGTACCTGGTCTTATGTCAAGGTCCTTAATCCATTTGGAATTGAGTTTTGTGTAGGAATGATAGATATGGATCTATTTGCATTGTTTTACATGAAATCATCCAGTTTGACCAGAAACATTAAAGATGATGTCTTTTCTACAGTGTGTATTTTCTTAATTTTGTTAAAAAGCAAGTGTCTATGTGTGTAGAATTGTCTGGGTGTTCAATTCCCACCTGTTTTCATGTTAATACCATGCTGCTTTCATTACTACAGCTCTGCAATACAACTTGAATACACTTACTGTTCAAGATTGTTTTAACTATGTTGAGTTGTTTCCATATGAAGTTGATGATTCTTTTTCAATTCCTGTGAAGAACTGTTGGGAGTTCTTAGAGTAACTGAAGATGAGGTGTATACATAGAAATCTAAAAATTACATTCTATAAATTCCTTTGTTTTTCAGAAGATGAATACTTAGCATTTACATGGTAGTTTCTGGTGCTTTTAAAGCAGCAATGTGGCTGCTGTCTGGCATATGTGAGGTTACCATTGGTCACTGAATTAGCACAAAGAATGAAGTTCCTCACTTGGAAATTTAAAAGCACCAGGAAACATCTACTCATTTCTCAGAAAAGCTTCACTGGAAAGTGGCCTTATATATTTTGGAAGACCCAGATTATAACACAGAAATTTACTGATTTCAAAGGCTGCCAGAAGTAACTGACATCAAGGTCAGGTCCCTTAAACAGAAACTCGATTGTGGCAGGGCTGCATGCAGGATGAGACACAGCAGAGGCTAGGTATTAGGGCAGGCTGGGGCTAGCCCTACATGGGCTAAAAAATACATTTGTAGTTTGTGTACCAGCATGTCATGACCCACAGATGGCCCTGGTGTGAAATTTAAGTGAAATGCCCTAAGGCTCTTTGCACAGCCACTGAACAGTTCTGCATATCGTCCTGTGATGCAATAAGTCTTTCCTGGGTAAAACATTTTTTGACTTAATGTATTTTCTTTGTATGAATGTTTTTATCTGTGTATATGGATGTTCACCACGTGAATGCTTGGCGCCTATGGAGTCAGAAGAGGGTATTAGATCCCCTCAGAATTGGAGTTATGGGCTTGTGAACCACCATATAGGTGCTGGGAATTGAACCCGGGTCCTCTGTAAAAACAAGTGCTCTTGACCACTGAGCCATCTCTCTAGCCCCTTTCTTAGAATTTTTAGCAAGCAGAAGGCATTTATAATTCAGCAACGAATAGAAAACACTCTTCCGTCATACCAACCAACAGTATATATTAAAAATGGTACCTGGATCTACTAACATGCTACTGACTGTATAGAGCTACAAATACATACTTTATAGAAAGGCAGGGGAATTTAGCAAAGGATTGAGATTCTGTAAAACAAAACAAAACAAAACAAAACAAAACAAAAAACCCTAAAATGATCTAAAATGTTTCAAGAGTATGAAACTGCACAATGAAACAGGCCACACTAAACACATTTACATTTCCTAAAATTAACGTTTGTCTCAAAGGCCAACAGAATTTCAAGTATCACCAGAAATGGTGTAATTAGAAAAGCCTCTCAAACAAGTTAAAAAGAAGCCTTTTGGACAGGTGAAGGCTTGAAAACTCCACAGGGCAGGATCTCACTGAAGTAAGACTACAGACAACGGAAGTTCTCTCCGCAGCGAACAGAGCAGTGCTTGTTAACACACAGGGTCTAACTGATTTGAAGGGGCACTGGGGACATTATACATGTGGTAGACATACTCAAGATGCTGATTGCTGGACTGGTTTCCTTCATTTATGTATCTGTCAAAACTCAGTAAACTATACTTTGAAATGGATGCAGTTTCTGGCATATAAATTATGCCTTAATTAAAGACTTTCTAATAGAAATAAAAATACTACCACTACAAGAATGACAAGGTCCAGACCATGGCCTGCTTCCTGTGTGCTGGGCAGGTCTTCTTTCAATTAGCCCAGAATGTTTTATTTCTACTTCCATTTTGAGCATTTGTCTCTCAGAAGAATGAGGGCATTCCAAGTGACTGAATGCCAGGACTGAGGCACCCCCAAATCATGGGGGAACTTTACAGTAAGCAGCCCTTCAGAACAGTTATTTGGTTTGCGGAGTGTGGAAGTGCTTTGTCTGCTCATCAGTGGTCACATGTGACTCCACCTAAACACATGGGGAAAGTAGAAAAGCAGACCCAGGGGCAAACGCTCGCCTTGAGAAGCCAGTCCTCATTATCTTACAGGGGTGCTTCTACTGTGGGGCCAACATGAACATGAAACTTGGCATTAGTAACACTGGCTTAGCTTATCCATAAATACTGACGAAACAAGGAAACTAATAGAAATTAAAAGTAGGTGTGGTTATCTATAAACTGGAGGGTTACTCAATAAAAAAGCAAAATGCTTATTGTAGTTTAGAAAAAACATTAAGAAGTAAGTTTGTAATGAGAATAGTCACTTTTATGTTGTACTTCATAAAAATGAAGGCCCATGAAAAAATAGGATTTTTTTCTCACTTAAATATTTTGTGTGCTTGAGTACATGTGGACCATGTGTGTCCAAGAATCCTTGGGGACATAAGGAGCTTCAGAGAGTTGTGAGCCTCCATGTGGGTGCTGGGAACAGAACCCCAGTCTTCTGCAAGAGTAGTGCCTGCTCTTAGCTGCCGAGCCATTTCTCCAGCATAGTGGCCCAGCCTCTCCGTAGCATCATGACTATGGGACAGCAGCGCTGAGCAGTGTAAGAAACTGGTGTTTCAGTCTATGCTAGGTAAACAGCACTGGAGCAAACCCGACAGCTCAGCTGCTTAGAGAAGCAAGCCATCATTTCTACATACCAGCCTGAAATAACAATCTAAATTTTATTAAAAACAAAATCGAAAAGGCCTCCTTCAGTTACAGAGTATGCACAAGAGTTTCTCCATCACAGCATTTTACAAGAAATATCTGAACAACAGGAGTAAAAGGAGAACTTACTAACATATGAAGACAGGAACTAGGTGCTGAAGACCACACACACACACACACACACACACACACACACACACACACACACACAC